TCACAATATTCACAATATTCTAAATGAGTGTGCATGTGCACCCGTTTTGCTAGAATGTTACTCAGAAGTAAAAAAAAGGGTAATTTTCTTGATTTTCACATATTTGACATGTTATGGTACAAGGATAAACTAAGTGAAAATGGGGTCATCGTTCAAAGTGCTTAATATGACAACATCTCAAACTTGTGCCCGGTACTTATTAAAGTTTATACTATCATTTTAGGGGGTTTTCAAAAATGGCCAGTCAGATCTAAGTGTTCAGGATCATTTCATATTTTGTTTCAGACAACTTTAAAAGGTTATTGATAAAACCAGGGCTCTAACAGCTGAATAGCCAAAAATCAAGTATATTTTTGTATCATGTTCTTTATTTTGATACAAGTCTATAACTTAAAATACAGTACAGAACCAATGTAAACAACTCTAATTTTGCAAGATACAAGTTTTCACGAATTTTGCGTGTCTGTGAAATGAGTGAAAACTTGTAGCAGGAGTGTCACGACTTTATTGTAGTCATCACATGACTACCCGATGAATAGATGACTGGGCGTTTTTTTAAGACCACTATGTAGCAGAAAGCATTCACCTTGAACACAAACGTAAGATAGCACTGTTACTATCGGCAACGCCAGCTGTCAAAATTAGTCACTATTTGAAAGTGCAATAAATGGTTTAAATTAAAAGGTCAACATCCAAAAATTTCAATGTAGGGATACTTATTTAGTTGGAGATGAAGTGTAGTAAATAAGTTCTGGTGTCCTAGAAACGATTTTATTTTATTCCAGGTGCAACAATTATGGACCATGAGTATATATGGTAAATTTGACAATCTGGAAATCCAGCTATTTTGACAAAGTGTGTCGTAACAGAAATACAAGCCCGCTGATTTATCTGACAAAAAATAGAGACAGGTCGCGTTATAAGTTTTCTATTAGAAAAAAAGAAAAACCATGAGATCAAAAAACAAAACAAAATCCAGCCCTAAATACGAATACGAAGCTATGTTGGTCACTACTCAATTTTAACAAGGTGGAACGCATGATACTTGCTTTAAGTATTTCTCACAATTTTAATTTGAAGACTTGTACAAGAAAGTTCGACGATCTTTTAAACAATCTTGAAGATTCTCACAAAATTGATTGCGATAACAAACCCATAAATGCATTTAATTCTAACAAATCGCCCGATCGAATGAAATATCAAAAACAAATCCTATGAGCTAAAATTGATGCTATGAGTTCAAAATGTGTGGATTTGATAGTAAGAGCGAAAGGTATAAAAACTATCATTGACTCTCACCTAATGGTGTGAGATGGGTGGTCTTGGTCAGTAACATCTGGAAGTTCTAAGGAATTTATAAATATAATAGCTTCGTATTTTGATATACATGTTCCATATTTCAATTCGACTGCGCTGAGGTAGATAAACTGTGGGCATACCGAGTAAAAATGTTTTTATTCTCGTGTGGCTTTGGAGAATTTTAGCTCAACTAAAAGGTTGTCAATTGAATGTTTTTTGCGAAACCTTTCAAAGCTAAATCACGGTGCCAAGACATTGATTACCAGCACTGGCAAAACAACTTCAGTATCCATGAAAAGTTAAAT